TGGTTAACTGAGGTGGGGAAATGAGGCCTTGGGGAGTTGGGCAAGACTGAATGGGGAGGTGTAGTCCTTGAGGAAGGCCTGGTCGGAAGACTCACCACGGCTCCATAATCTCAGCCCCAGGCTGTTCCTGTTGACCCTGGAGCCAGCTCTGACTGGTCCCAGCAATTGACCTTGGTGGATGCAGAGGAAGCCTGTCCTAGCAGAGCGGGTGGAAGGTCATCCCCCTGGAGGCTGGTCACCTGCTGGGCACGAGGCCCCTCCTCTGTGGCCTGCTGCCATCTGGGTCACACCAGGACAGGTCACTGGAGGAATGGACCCCAGTGGTCCTGGGTGCAGACCGCGGTGGAGGGAGGCGAAAAGGGGGGTCAGCCCCACCGAGCCCATTTGAGATGTGTGGGAACACCATTGGAACACGGCCATGGGGTTTTCAGGCTACTTCGCTAATATGAAATCTATTTGATTTTAGGACTGTGGCAATGTGTCATGGTAGTTACCATTTGAAGTTGAGTTGGAAATAGGGAAAGTTGGAGTTAGTGTTTTCTAACTCAGAAGAATGAGCTAGATTTGAAAGCAGCAGAGCCTCCCCTCTGGGACCCTTCCAGGCGGGGATGAAGAGCCGGGGAGGGGGCGGGTGCCCTTGGGGTGGGCAGGGTGCCAGTGGGTTCTGCTCAGCCTAGGGGGCCTGCATGGTGAAGGCCCCCCTGGCCCCAAGTCCTGCTGTTGCTCCAGCACCTCTGCTGATCAGCGATGGACAACTTCCAGTACAGCGTCCAGCTCAGTGAGCAGGACTGGGCCGAGTTCTCGGCCACCACTGATGAGTGTGGCCTCTTGCAGGCTGGCCTAGCCTCCGGAGATGAGCTCTTGTCCAGTGACGCTGACCAAGGGGACAGCAGTGGCAGCAGCCCCCCGGGGCCCCCACCACTCCTCAGTGGGCCACTGGCTTCCAGGGGGAGGGGCTGCTGGGGCTGCAAGGAGGGGGACGTGGCTACCCAGCAGCTGGTCAGCAGGTCTCAGTGTGAGCCTGTCCTGGCTCTAGGGGCCGGTCAGCAGGAAGCCGGCACGTCCACACAGTCAGAAGCCCTGCCGTGCCCCGGCTTGGGTGCTGCCCCTGTCAGCCAATGTTCCTTCCTCCCAGAGTCAGCAGCTTCTAGAGGTGAGATGCAGAGGCTTCTACAGGGCCCTGCCTCAAACCCTGCTGGTGACCCCTCTCCAAGTCCTGAGTCCCCAGCCTGCAGTGCTCCTTCCCAGAAGCTCCCCGAGAGCCCTGGGGCTTCACGGCGCAGCCCTGGCCGCAAGAAGAGGCGTGGTGTGGGCGCCAAAGGTGGTGAGCGCTCGGGAGGCCCAGGCCCTTCTGCGGCACCATCCCATGCTCCCGAGGCCAGTTCCAAGGAGGGTCTCGAGGCAGGGACAGCAAAACTGACAGCAGGAGCCTTGAAAGACAAGCCAGATTCAGACTCTGCAGGTGCTCCTGAGCCAGGCTCTGGTCCCTCTGAAGAGGTTGCCAGAGGAGGGCCAGGCTTGGATCTACCCACGTCTGTGCCCACAACTGAGCAAGGTGCAGACCAGATCAGACTGGCATCCAGAGCTGAGCCACACACAGCGTCCGAGGTTTACCCAGATGTCTCCATGGCTAAGCCAGATGCAGCTCTGTCTGCCCCAGTCTCCAAGGTTCAACCAGACATGGCTTCGTCTGTACCTGCTACCAAACTTCAATTTGACACAGCTTTTTCTGTATCTACCTGTAAGCCTCAAGCTGACATGGTTTTATCTGCATCTGCATGCAAGCTTCAACCTAACATAGTTTTATGTACGCCTACCCATAAGCCTGATACGACTCTGTCTACACCTGCCACCAATCCTCAACCTGACACTGCTTCGTCTACACCTGCCAATAAGCCTCAACCCAACATGGGTCTGTCTACATCTGCCTCTAAGCCTGACATAACTTTATTTACACCTGCCCCCACCCCTCACCCGGAGAGGACTATGTCTGCACCGGCCCCTACTCACGGATATCACGTGGACTCGCCCGTAGCAGGCCCAGGGGCAAAGCCAGAGGGGGATTTGACCACACCTGTCTCCTCGGCTGTGCTGCACCAAGTTCTGCCTTACTCAGCTTCCAAGGCCACGTCTGCTTCCTCCTCAACCCCCGTTTCCTGGGCTGAGCCTGCTCTGGCAGACACAGAGGTGTCAGTGGGTCAAGGGGGTTACCAAGAGAAGCCTGGAAGAGAGCCCTTAGCCGGGACCCCTGGACACCCTTCTGGGGGAGCCCCACAGGGCCCTGTCCAAGTCACCAAGAAGAAGAAAGTTCGCTTTTCTATGGCTCTGCCCAACCCTGAGGAGCCAGGGTCAGGGGAGGCCACAGGCCCACCCCCCCCAGCTGCACCCCGTTCCCCAGCCCCCCAGACTCGCGGCGGGGCTTCAGCCTGGGATGCTGTGGCTGTGGGGCCCCGCGCCCCCCAGCCTCGGATCCTCAAGCACCTACCACCTCCATCCCCCTCTGCCTCCTCAGTGGGGCCCGAGCCTGGAGGCCGCTTTGCAGTGACCCTTCCCGAGGCTTATGAGTTCTTCTTCTGTGACACCATCGAGGAAGAGGACGAGGACATGCAGGATGAGGCAGGGGACGGTCAGGCCCTGGGGGAAGTCCAGTGGCCAGATACCTGTGAGTTCTTCTTCCAGGACTTCAGGGTCCAGAGACCAAGGCACCAAAGGCACTTAGTGCCAAAAGCACCCCCAGGAGCTGAGTGTGGAGCGGCACCTCCCCCTGGGGACCCTGTGCCCATCTCCATCCCTGAGGCCTACGAACACTTCTTTGGAGAGGACAGGCTTGACAGCAGGCCTGCCCCCCTTCACCAGCCACAGCGCTTGGAGCCTCTAAAGGAACTGGAGCTTGGGCTGCCCCCTGAACCTGGCCCAGCCACAGCAGAACAATTCAGCCTGGCAGTCAGGCAAGCAGGTAGGTGTTGATTAGGCCGATCTAGGTCCTGGGAACACGCTGTCCAGGGAGCTAGGCCAAGGGGCCGTGGGGGAGGGGCAGTGCAAGACCCTGGTCGTTAGCCAAGAGGGGGTGGTGCTTCAGGACGGGTGGGAGAAACGGCAAGTCCAGCCATTCCAGGACACAGTCCAGTTGGGGTAGAACAGGCAACATAGCCATTCCGGTTTGGCTCTGCAGTGACCGCTGCCTCGAGTCCAGGTTGAAGTGCTAGCATGTGCCCTGTGGGAAATAGCGTCCCACGGGAAGCTAGGTCCTAGACAGGGAGGTGAAGACCACAGAGCCACTCCCTCAACGGTGACACGTCACCCAGTGTCTTTTTTTTTTTTTTTTTTGGTCCAGTCGTGGGGCCTGAACTCTGGGCCTGGGCGCTGTCCCTCAGCTCTTCAGCTCAAGGCAAGCACTCTACCCCTGAGCCACTTCCCAGCCCCTCACCCAGTGTCTTGAGGAAGAAACATCATAGGAGAATACGAGCGTGTGTCCAGACAGGCAGACAGGAGTGTTCCAGGGAGGGCCTACGCAGGGCAGGGGTGTTCCACAGCAACACATTCTATGGCAGCCATGTCTTAGAGCAAGTGTGACCAGGGCAAGTGTGTCCCAGGGGAAGCGAGTCCAACGTGTGCACAGGGAACACCATACCTCACGGGACCAATGAAGGGTGCACTTCTCTTTCCTAGATGAGCTCCGGGGTCCCTTCACCTCTTTTACCTTTAGCCAGAATGACATGTGCCTGGTGTTTGTGGCTTTTGCCACTTGGGCTGTGAGAACCTCAGATCTACATACCCCAGACGCTTGGAAAACAGGTTTGAGGGCTCTGGGGGTGGAGGGGCTTTGATGTCCATCTCCCCCGCTGGGCCGGCAGGGGGACAGGTACCCAGGAGGTTCAGGCCCTCTGTGACCTTATTTTTTCCATGGCTGACCTGTCTCCGACCCACTGGGCTTGCCCCGCCCTGTGTGGACTGGGTCTTGTGGGTGGAAGGTGACCAGCTGAAGCTGGCATCCAGGAGACCATATGCTTCTTTTGCAGTCTTGCTGGCCAACATCGGCACCATCTCTGCCATCCGCTACTTTCGCCAGCAGATGAGGCAAGGACGTAGCCCCAGCCGAAACCCCAGCCCCAGCAACAGCCCGAGTCCCAGCCCCAGCTGCTAGGAGCCAGGCTGGGCTGGGAGGTGCGGGACGCTGAGACCAGCTCAGGGGGCCTTGGACAAGGTGCTGCCCCCTCCTCACTCTCTGACACCTATCTGCTATGGTATCCGGGAAAGAATCAGCGTCTTATGTGTCAGCCTCCTTGGACTCCACCGTGGGGCCAGCGAGTAGCCAAGGTCACTCCCCACACCCGGTAGGAAGGATATTCAGGATTCTGCGTGGGTAGGTGCTGAGCGGAAAGCTATTTAGGAGGGCATTGGATTAGCAAGTGTAAAACAAGGCACTCAATTCAGTTTGAATCTCAGACATGCAATCCTTGGGGTGTTTGTCTGAAATTAACTTTAGTGAGCACTGCATTTCATCGGCTCACGTGCTAAGGACAGTAGGAGAGGAAAGCATCAGGGCAGCAAGGTCCTGCTGGATCTTGGACACTAGACAGGACATTGGGTGACTTCAAAGCTTAGAATGGGGGATGTTCGAGGACTCTACTCTGGGCCTCTAAGGCCCTCTGACTCCTGAACCTAGAGGGACCAGGGCCACAGCTGGCTTAGGCCAGGCCCGAGTTGGCGAGCAAGTGCCTGGGGGAAACCTCTGAAGGCTCCTGCAGCTCCCGCTGGGTAGGTCTGCGGAGCAGAGATGGCGCCCTGGGGTCCAGAAGGAGGTGCAGATGGAACTGAGGCCTTCAGTGCAGGCAGCTGAATGGGACTGAGGCTGAGTGGTCGTGGAGTGGGAAAGTGGCAGAGTGGCCTAAGGTGGCAGAATGATGGCAGGACAGGGTAAGGCTCTGTCCGAGGCAGCATGGCCAGTGCCTAGGATAATGGAAACCTGGCTGCTCTGAGCGAACACAGACAAGCACCAATAAAGTCTCTTTTCCTGTTTATAGTGTCGGTGTTGGTGCCTCTGACCCCACATTGCCAGCAATGACTGACCGTCTCACCCTGATTGCTGGGCACTCTCCCACATCTGCTTTCAATAATCTCTGACCCCTATCAACCTTTCACCCTCATGCCCTCTGAACTAACACACTGGCAACCTGACTTTCTTAACTTCACATTCATGGTATCACCCCAGTTCCAAGTAAAGCCCACCACCAGACCTCTCTCCCTCCCTTCCCCATGGACAGAGCTTCGGGAGGGCTCTGGCGGGTGTCCAGGCCTCCTCTGTATCTTCCTGGGTTGTTGTTGATGCTGGCCATGATATCACTACGATGAGGTGCTTCTGCTGGCCTTCGTAGCTGCTGGTGAGGCAGAGGGGCCCAGAATCCGGGCAAGGGTGCTTCTACTCTCAGATCCCGAGGAAGCCCTTGATCTGATGGAGTCAGACTAATCTGGATCTGAAGTGGGTCGGAGGGCGGGATGGCTGCAGACACCCTCCGGGTTGGCACTGATGAGTGCTCCTGAGGAGCAGCTTGCCTGGAGCCCATCAAATCCATTGGATGAGCCCCCCCTCTGCCTCGGGCCTCCTAAGGTGTGGCCACTTCTGGTGGGAGGGAGATGAGGTCTTCTCCCAGACCGAGGACTCTCTATCTGGTGGGCAGGGCAGAGCACATCAGGCATAGGCCTGCAAGAAGCAACACCCATCACTTCACCCAGCAGAGACAGATCTTCACTCACCTGGAGGAAGTTGTAGGGGACTGGGTGTATCTTCCCTTGCTGGGGTAACCTGGGAACACAAAACACAAGTCTGAGTGCTGGAGAAGATTGGCCCCCCAACCCACCAGGACCCTCTCGCCTTTGCCTTGGGGTCCCCACCCCGCTGTGGCTCCCCATCAGGCTGTACCCCCTTTTCCCTGTCCCTGGTCTCCCCTGCTCCTTCTTTCTCCCCCACCATCCCAGGAGCCCCCCACCCCTCAAGACGTCTTTGAGCCCAGGGCATGGGCCTCCTCTTACCAGGTGGGGGCTGCTACTCATAAGTTGTGGAGAGTCAGGGGGACGTGTCGCTTGGCCTTTGACAGAGCCTCGGTGCCTCTGAGAGGCGCGAGACTGTGGGGCTCTTTTGCTGGAGAGCAAATAGGGACCCAGGAGCCCAGGGGTGCTGGAGAGTCTGGAGCTAGAGTCAGAGACAGGCACCGAAGAGAACAGGCTAGATGGGTCTGGTCCAGGTGAAGTTCGCACAGCACTGAAGATCTGCCAGAAAGTGGGAAAACAGGGGCCCCAGGACTGGACCACTGTGGAGCTCAGGGACCCTTAGCCCAAAGATACACGCCCCCCCGCCCCGCTTTTCCTCCCTTCATAGCCTGAGGGCTGCTATGTTACCCACACTGACCTCATCCAGGCCTTGGACATCTGTGATCTTGCGATGGGAGGTGGCAGGTGGTGTGTAGGGATCAGCGTACAGGGGGGAATGTGGTGTGTCCAAAGAGTGGTCTAGTGCCTCTGGGCTGTTCTCCAGGTCTGGCCCTTTGACCTACAAAAGGTGAGAGATACAGGTCCCTCTAGCTAGAAAGCAGCCAGAGTATTTTATCCTCTGAGCAAGAGATTTTTCTTTCTTTTCCTTTTTTTTTTTTTTGGTTGTGGGGCTTGAACTCTGGGCCTGGGCACTGTCTCTCAGCTCTTCAGCTCAAGGCAAGCACTCTACCTCTTGAGCCACAGTGCCACTTCTGGTTTTCTGAGTGGTTTATTGGAGATAAGAGTCTCATGGACTTTCCTGCCTGGGCTGGCTTTGAACCATGATCCTCAGATCTCAGCCTCCTGAGTAGCTAGGATGACACACATGAGCCACCCGCGCCTGGCCCCCAGTGAAACTCTTATCTCTAATAAACTAATCAGAAAATCAGAAGTGGTGCTGTGGCCTAAGTGGTAGAGCACTCGCCTTGAGCTGAAGAGCTGAGGGACAGCGCCCAGGCCCAGAGTTCAAGACCCACAACCCCCCCCAAAAAAAGTCTGAAGGACTTTCCCTGCCTGGGCTGGCTTTGAACCGCGATTCTCAAATCTCAGCCTCTTGAGTAGCTAGGATCACAGGTGTGAGCCACCGGCGCCCGGCTTAAGCAATATATTTCTGAGTACCCCAGGACTACCTGAGCAGAGAGATAGGCAAGAAGGAGGGCGGCCTGGATCGGGAGCACATGCTAGACTCACTTTGGCCAGGTCCAGGCGCAAGGGCCGTGGAGTGGCCCTGCTAGGCACTTCTCCTCTGGCTCTGCTTCTGGGTGATCGGCTGCTGCTGCTGCGCCTCAGCTCTGTCCTCCGCTGGGCAATGCTGGCACAGTCGGAGCTGGCCAGGTCCTGCAGGGATGACGAGCCTTCTAGAAAGTTCCTGTTGACCCCTCTCCCACATAATTCTCTGAGGCTGCACAGGGGTCCCATGAATCTGAGACCCCTCGTGGAGGAGTGGGGATCCAGGCTCAGGATGGGGCAGTGGGGGATCCAGGCTCAGGATGGGGCAGTGGGGGATCCAGGCTCAGGATGGGGCAGTGGGGGATCCAGGCTCAGGATGGGGCAGTGGGGGATCCAGGCTCAGGATGGGGCAGTGGGCTCTGGGCTCTTCAGCCACGGATGCCTCCCCTGCTCCGCCACTCCCCAGGTGCTCAGTTGCAGGCTGGGCAGAGCAGCCCATACAGCCTGGGGCTAAGGGCTTGGGCAGGGAGAGAGGAGGACACAGGGCAATCTGAGTCCCAACTGACCTGTCTATCCAAGGAGAGCCAACCTTGGCCACCACCACCACTCCTGGGCAGCCAGGAGTGAGCTGGGTGGTTGAATCCCTCCCTACCCATGCCCGTCCCCACCCATCCCCCCGTGGTGGCAAGACTTCACCTGTGTGGGCCCCTGAAGCTGTGGGGTGCTCGGAGGGCCGGGCGGCAGGGGGGCCCCGTCCTTGCGGCAGACTGTGCGGAGGCATAGCATCCAGTGGCTGTAGTCCCCGTAGCTGGCGCACACCACACGGATGGTGTTGATGAGGCGGCCTGGAAACAAACGTGCATTGGGGCTTGGAGCAAGGGTGTACGCTGCACCTCGCAGAACCCCCAGCAACGAGCTGCGGCATCCACCGGGCTCACGTCCCCCTCGCCCCCCAAACCTATCCAGGCCAGGGCAGAGTCTGCGGCGAGATTCCACCTTCAATCAGGAAGGAGCGGATCTGTTTCTCCTTCTCCTCCAGGTTGATGTGGATGGCACTCAGTGGCAGCTCCCCCTGCGGGACACTGAATGAGCGTCTGCCTTCATCCGGGCCTCCTCACCCCCGCCGGCCATTTCCCCTCCCCCCTGCCCTCTAGAGCTCAACTGGGCCTCTTCCCCCCTGCCTCCTGGTGGACCCTTGCCTGCCCACGGCAGATAAAAAAAGTTGCTCGTGGGGACTGAATCCTAATAGGGAGGCCAACATGTGCATTTTCCAGTGACACTAGCTGCACACTCTGGCCCCAGAGAAGACACATTCATGCACACATGCAGAAAATAACACTGGGGGATGGCACTTGGAGGGCCCTGGGGCAAGCAGGTATGAGGGAGTCCCGGGAGCAGTCTCACCCTGGCCACTGGCCCCAGGGTGGTGGTCTGGATGGTGGCTGAGGAGCCTCAGGACAAGATGGATGTGCAGGTGGGGATTCCTCTGCTTCAGACAGAGACCAGACTGACCAGGATAGTGGCCCCATATGGGCATGGCCCAGTACTCTGTCCCAACAGGCCCGGAAATACAGGTTCCTCTGATCCCAGCTCCCACTCCAGTGGGGCACCACCCTAGGGCGGGTGCACATCTACCTTAAAGATCTACCTTAAAGCTTAGCCCATCTGGCTCCTCAGAGAAAATGGCCAGAGACCCAGGGTATAGGACCAGGAGCCGATCCCACTGCTCCTGCAAAGGGTAAGGGACAGAGCAGCGCTGAGCACCCAGGCCCGCACCTGCCACTCGAACCTCCCCCGCCTCCTTGCGCCCCCATGTCCCTCCACCCACCTGGGAGGGAAGGTGCTGCAGCTTGACCCTTGATGCACAGATGGCACTGTACACTGACTCCTGCCCCGACGCCCTCTGCAGCTGGTCCAGTCTGCGCTGCAGACTCCAGGAGAGCTCATCCCCCAAGGGTCCCTGAGGAGGGGGAAGAAAGAAGAGGAGGGGGAGGGGAGGAGCTCCTCAGAGATAGGCTAGAAGGGCGGGGCAGGGGAGGGTCCGCCCCCCCCCACTGGGTCCCCGGGCACTGACCTGAGGGGGCGCCGAGTGGCAGCGGCGCAGGCCACCCACAAGGGCCATCTGTTTCTCCAGGTGGTAGAGCCAGCGGTGGAGCTCACCCTCACTGTGGCAGAGAACGAGGAGGGGAGCAGGCAGCGGGCCTGGGGGCGGAGGAGCTGAGTGGAGGGCAGTCCCCTTCCCCAGACCTCCCGCGGCCCGGGCTGGGGCGGACGGCACCACCCACACACCTGTGATCTGGAAGGCATGCTCTCGGGACCCCTCCAGTGGGCAGACGCTCAGCTCTGTCAGCGGTAGCAGCCCCTGTCACGGTACAGGGCAGGAGAGGCTCAGAACTCCCAGGGGCTGTGGGCCATGTCTGCTGTCCTTTTGCCCACACTCCTTACCTGGAGCGTGAGTCCTTCAGAACCATGGGCTTGGAAGTAGAGATGGGAGGGGAACAGTTCCAGGTAGCAGTCACTCGTGTCCTAGGCAAGGGTAGGCCCCCCATCTCAGGATCTGGGGACCAAGCTCCAGGCTGGCCAGGATGCTGTCCCTGGGCACGGCCCCACCTGGCATGGCCCCTACCTGGCTGTGTTGGAACCGCAACTGAACCTTGGCATAGTGTACAACTTTGCCCAGGTTCCTCACAGATGTCCTCCGCCGCCCCTTCTTGAACACACTCAGGAATGGCTGTTCCAGATTTTCATGTGGATTCTCCAGGCTTGTGAAATCCTGAGGAGCAATATCAGGGAAGGGGCCAGAGCCCCAGCCAATATACATAGGGCCACTGTTATGTGTACATATTGGCCTGGTCTATCCATGCATAGTCATACAATACATATGTTAAGAACCCACCTATGGGCTGGGAAGGTGGCTCAGTGGTAGAGCGCTTGCCTTGCATGCATGAGGCCCTGGGTTCAATTCCTTAGCACCACAGAAGCAGAAAAAGCTGGAAGTGGTGCTGTGGCTCAAGGGTAGAATGCTAGCCTTGAGCTGAAGAGCTGAGGGACAGTGCCCAGGCCCAGAGTTCAGGCCTCAGGACCAAAAAAAAGAACCCACATATGAGGGCCTGGGAATGTGGCTTAGTGGTAGAATGCTTGCCTAGCATGCAATGGTTCAATTCCTCAGTACCACATATACAGAAAAGTCCAGAAATGGAACTCTGGCTCAAGTGTTAGATTGCTATCCTTGAGCAAAAGAAGCTCAGGGACAGTGCCCCAGGCCCTGAGTTCAAGCCCCAGACTGGCAAAAAAAAAACCCAAACAACCAAAAAAACAAACACCCAAACCCTACATATGTACAGCTCCTACACACCTCCTTCTCATGAACACAGTGACAGACTATAATACAAGACACACAGACTCACACTACCTAGTCTGTGGTAGAGAGAGTCTAGGGCTCAGGAGATCAACCCTTACCCCATTATCTCCTAGGCTGTGCAGTCTGGCTTTGGTCATTCTGCCTCCCCAGACTTGCCAAGGAGCTTTGGGGGTATCTAGATAGTCCTCAAAACCCTCCCATGTCTCCAATGTAAGCCAACAAGGGTTAAATACCTGGTTCTATAAAAAACAAAGAAAGCCCCAAGAGTCTGACTTGTACTATTTGACTACTTCCCTGTTACAAATATTCCTGACACCATTCACTTTAAATTACCAGGACAATGTCCGTGAGCGAGCTTTGGCAGTGTTATAGTCAGTTCTCATGAGCCTAAACTGGCTGCTCCAGCTCACCAACCACACGGGTCTCAGTCACAGCAGGAGCCGAGGTTCTGGCACTGATCCCCGGGATTCTGTATTACGTGCCCCACATCCCCTCCCCGATTTGCCCTCACATCAGATGCCCGCACGTCTCAGGGCCTTCGTACTTTGCTGCCTCTCTGCTGAGATCATTAAGCTCCAAGTCCCCACCTTGCCCCCTTCAGAGCTGTGCTCAGATGTTTACCTTCTTCCTGCTTGGATAAAATTCCAACTTTCAGTGGTTGAAAGTGAACTTTACAACTGTGGCTGGGGACAGGAAGGAAAAACTGGGAGAGAGTGAGGGAAGCGATGACAGTGTCCAAAAAGACATGTGCTCTCTGCCTGACTTAGGTACTGTAGCCCCACCGTACACCACCTTTATAATAACAATAAAATGGAATAATAAAGCTATTTTACCATTCAAAAATTTTCCCATCTTAGCCGGGCGCTGGTGGCTCACGCCTGTAATCCTAGCTACTCAGGAGGCTGAGATCTGAGGATCGCGGTTCAAAGCCAGCCCGGGCAGGAGAGACCGTGAGACTCTTATCTCCAATAAACCACCAGAAAACCGGAAGTGGCGCTGTAGCTCAAGTGGTAGAGCGCTCGCCTTGAGCTGAAGAGCTGAGGGACAGCGCCCAGGCCCAGAGTTCAAGCCCCACGACCGACAAAAAAAAAAAAAAAAAAAAATTTTCCCATCTTACTTAAACTGCCCTTCTGTATCTTTTCTTGTTCATGTTACCTGTCGCGCTGTAGAGGGAAAGGTCACACAGTGAAGGCAGGGATGTTGTAGCGATCTATTTTGTGTACTGTTGTGTCCCAGAGATTCATAGGACTTAGGATGGGCTTTGGGATCTGCACGTCTGCTGAAAGGAGGGAGGCCCGACATCTACACACTAGGCCAGCTGTGGCCCTGAGTCCCCTATCTATGCAGGAGTCAGCCGATCAGAGGCCATGCTCTTTTGGATGCTGCCCAAGGCCACCTGTGCGGACGGCTATCCCTTTGCCAACCTCAGCTGCCCCTTGGGGAAGCCCAGGAATGTGAGGCCCAGCTCACTTCCTCCCTGACTCTGGGCGGGGCCTTGTGCACCCACACACACCCTGTGTGGGAACTGACGCTGCACAGCACCTGTGAAAAATAGGCCATGCAGCTGGCTCCAAGGCCCAGGTTCAGCCGTGGAGTGTGGGGGAGGATTCGGTTTGGAATTGTGGCAGAGTCCACTCAGATCCCAGAAAAGCCTGCTCCATTCCTGCTCCACAGCCCTGTTCACCTTTTGAGGCTCCCTTGCTCCCCTTCAGCTACTGTGTCTAGCTGGGGAGGACCACTGGAGTCACGGTGGCTCATGACGCTCCTTCCCAGAGTCACACTGCTTCCTGGCCCCAGATGAAAGGGCCACACAGAGAGAGCTCACTTTATGCCATGCCAGATGCCCTCATCCTGCCCACTTCTCTGTGAAAGTGTGGCTTCTGGAGCTGCACCTGCCAGTAAGAGTCCAGAGACCTCAGAGAGCCCACAAGCAGGTGGCACAGGCTTCCCAGCCTGGTGGCAGCCTGCAGGAAAGGTAGAGTTCTGGAAAAGCAGACCAGGTACCTCGCAAGTGCAGAGCGGGGGCCTGCTTCTGACAGCTCAGGGTGCCTTTCCCCGGAGCAGGACTTGGTACACCCTGCTGGGCGTGGTTCCAGAAGAATCAGGGGGAGGAGCCTGTCAGACCCGCAGCCCAGGCTCCTGCCATCCCAAAGCCTTCCCAGTTGGGAAAAAAGGAGCAGCAGTCTCTTTCCTTAGCGAGCTCTAAGTCCCCCAGGGTTTGGACATGGGAAGGGATGTGAGAACTAACCTACAGGTAGAAGAAACAGGGAGCTGTGTGCTGTGGTACAAAGGAGCAGCTTCCTGCAAGATATCCTAGGGAGAAACTGAAGCCTAGAGTAGGTGTCACCATTCACCAGAAACTCCTGACTTCCGGTGGCCCTAGCCGGTCACTGGTGAAGGGGTGGGCGGGTGGGTGGTGGCCTCAGGTGTGGGTGCCTACCCGGCTGGGAGGCCCCACCCGGGCGTGCGGCTCACCACTGACTCAGTGCTCGTCTGGGTTTCATTCTTGGCCCAGACTTTCGGCGGATGAGCTAACCCAGGGTAGAACAGTGTCCACTCCCTCACCTCGCCTTTGGTCTGAGCTCCTCCCCCCCCCCCCCCCCCCCCGGTTGACTAGGGAGACCCTGAGCTATCTAGACACAACAGTGTCTCTCCCTCTCTCTCACCCACACACTCCCCCCCCCCCGAGTTCTACAGGAGGGTGCAGGGCAGCACCCAGACCCCAGGCCCCATGCCGTCCCCCACAGCACAGTGGGGTGGCACACAAGGTGCGGTGCACAGACCACCGTGGCTGTTGTGCTCTAGTGGGACACGCCCCTCTGCTCACCGTCCCAGGGATGTAATGGAAGATCTTGTCTGCTGTCGCGTCCCCGTCGGGACTAGCTTCATTGCCAAATAGGCTGGCCAGCTTCCTCGCGCTGTCCTCTCTGGGGGCAAGGGAAAGAGGGCTCAGAGCCTGGCTCTGGGCAGCAGGCTGAGGGAGACCTTGTGCCCATGGGCCAGACCACCCTCCTCACCTATTTCCCTTCAGTGAGGGCTTTCTGGAGAAGGAGGCCCGAAGCCTCCTTGGGGCCTGGGGAACGCAGTGGCTGTTCCCCATGGGTGGAGGCAGCTGACCTGGGCCAGGCGGTTGGCAGTTCTGGAACCCTCAGTTAAGAACATCCTGCTCCAGCCTCCTGCAGGGGGTGGGGCTGTGGGAGGTCCTGCTCCTCCATGGGCGGCTCGGAGGAGGAGCTTGTGTAGGAGGGGCCTCACCCCTGCCTGACATCTGGCACTGGTGCTGGAGCACAGACCAGCCACAACAGGGAAGACACCTCCTTCAGTGGAGAGAATCCCCTACCTCAGACTTCTGTTGACACAGGGGGGCCCTGGGGCCCGGTGTGTGGACACACTGATGTCAGGTGTTCAGGCTGGGGTGCCTGGGCCCTGCAGTTTGGTGAATGCAGGGACTCTCTCCTTCAAGCCGCCTTCCTCCTACCTCCCACCGCCGAGCCAGTGCGCCCCCCCCCACAACCTGAGCATACAGTTTGAGTCATTAGTGACTGTCGGGCATGTGCTCACTTGCAGCCACTAAAGCAGGAGTTTGTAACATCCAGAAAGAGAAGCAAGACCTCGCCCCCCTCAGCCCCAGCCAGGGTCTCCAGGGTTTAACTAAATGTAGGAACGCAGCCCTGTGTCTTCTAGGTGCTCAAGTCATAATCAGAGCCTGGGCTGATCAGGAACCTCAGCCCAGGCTAACAATCAAATCTTTGCTGTTCCACAACACCTGAATGCAGAAGTTCTGCCTTGCAGCTCCCAAAATTAATGCAGCATCTGAACTAGGTTGATTATCTACCTACAGACCCTTACCTTGGTATCCAGATAGTACCCGAGGCTGTCCCACACACAGCAGGGACTGAACGGACCAGAGATGGACACTCAGCCTCAGGCCACGGAGCCCAGGAAACAGGTTTATTTTCAAGTTGGCTCATATTGCTGTGTAGGGTCTGAGTGCATTGTGTGTGCCCAGCTCCATACAAGATCCAGAAAAGACAAAGCTTTATGCAGATCCACATACAATCTGCTTTCTGCCTTCCTAGGATAGTGCCTGGCTGGGTCTAGTAAGTACAGTGTACAAAGCGCTGGCTAGGGATCTGCATCTTCTGAAGAAGTCCCAATCCCTACTCTTGCTTTGCTAACCTGGCTGCTACTCTGCAGCCGCCCGCCGTCTGCAGAGCCCGAAGGGGCCACGGGCCTCTCCTGAAGTACCCACCCCATCATTTCCCACTGCTCGCAGGCAGTGGAAAGACATTCTAGAGGGCTGCTTGGTCCCCTGCAGGGAGGTGACCCTTGAGAGTAAACACATGAACTGGTAGCTGCAGCACTGCTCCTCTGTCATAAATAATCCATAAATAATAAATAAGCAAGTTGACAGACGGCACAAACATAAACAAACAGAGATGAAGGCAGACACGTGGACGGACGGTACACGAAGTCCCTGGTGGGGGCCGTCACTACCCCCAACATACAGCCAAGGAGCGGGAGGCGTGGGGCGCCTCACAAGGCTTAAGGCATGTGGGAGGCTGTGGGCCTCGGTGCAGTCTTCACCCAGGTCAGAGGCTGGTAGAGGACACTGACAGCGTAGGTGAGGACGGTGGGGGGAAGTTCAGCAGCTCCAGCACCGCCACTCCCACGCTACTGCGCCTCGTGAACATGCAGGACACAGCCACCCATTTGTTGGTCCTCGGGTTGTACTTCTCAATGGAGTTAAGGCTGGAGCTGCCGTCATTGCCCCCGACCGCATACAGCCAACCATCCATGGCCACCAGGTCATGTGTGCTCCTGGAGACGGGTGGGCCAGGGTAAGTGCCAGGAGTAGCTAAGGGAGCAGCGCACAGGAGCACTGCTGGGAGGTCAAGGGAAGCCACAGGGTGGGTGAGGACCACAGGGCAGGAAGAATCAAAAGACCTGCTGCCAGGGTTCATGCACCACCCCTGGAGCTACCCTAGAAGACGACCTGCGGTGGGTGCCGGACATGCTGACCTGCGGATGTTCATGGGCGCCACGCTCTCCCAGGCACCGGCTTTGGGGCTGTACCTCTCCACGGAGTTCAGGCAGCTGGTGCCATCGTTGCCCCCGGCCACATACAGGGCACCCTCCAGCACAGCTACGCCTGCTGAGCTGCGACGGCTCAGCATGGAGGCCACGGGAGTCCAGGAGTTCACCTGTGGCAGCAAAGGGATGGGCTGGAAGTTGACACGACGTAGAGGGGCCTCCTGCCCCTACCACAATACAGACCCTGCTCCAGGGCGAGTGACTAGAGGACAGGTAAGATATTGGGGCGACACCCCTGCCGGGGTGCTGATGATGGGGTGCATTATGCACCTGGGGCTCATACTTCTCCACGGTGGCCAGGTGTGATGAGCTGTCGTAACCACCCACAGCATACAGGTTCCCATCTGCAGAGAGGCAATGTACCCATAATGCTCTTGCTGGCTACAAGGGCTGGGGATGGGGAGAGCAGGCACCACGGGAAGCAGGCCCTGTCACCCACCAAGTGTGGCCACGCGCACGTATCGCCTCCGGGTGCTCATGGCAGCGACGGACGTCCATGTTCCCGTCAGTGGGTCGTATCGTTCGGCACTGTGGGCACCAGACTACTGCTGACCATCAGCCAGGACAGTAAGGCGGTCTTGCCCCTGACCGGCCCTTCCCAGTGGCATGGCTGAAATCCCATGCTGGTAACCACAAAGGCCATGACCCCAAAGTGCTACCAGGGTGGATAGCAAGGCCTGCCAGGTAGGCAGACTACTGGCTGCCCAGATGAGTATCCTAGCCAAGTGTCCCCCTGGGCCTAGACCTCGAACTGAGAGGAGAGCCCTAGAGGGGAAATGGGGTGATACGGAGGCCAGGCCTTGCTGATGGGTGCCCAGGGTCAGGTGGGACCTCTCTCTATTCCTCCTTTACGGTGTGACTTAGTGGTCACAAGACAGCCGTACCTCCCAGTGCTGAGCCAGCCCTGCAAGGCCTGGGGGGCCTCCCCCCCAGCTACTACCTCCCAGTGCTGAGCCAGCCCTGCAAGGCCCAGGGGCCTCCCCCCCAGCTACTACCTGTTGAGGCAAGAGGCCCCATCGTAGCCGCCAGCTGCGTACAGAAGCCCATGCAGGGCAGCTACACCCAGGCAGCTTCGCCTTGTGCCCATGGATGCCTCCGGCTGCCACGTGTTGGTCACAGGGTCATAGGACTCCACAGTAGCCAGGTCTGAGGTCCCATCGTAGCTACGAGAGGGGTCCACTACGAGTCAAGGCCGGCGCGGCAGGCACACACAAAAACCCTGACCCAAGTCCAGACTCCATGCTTACCCGCCCACAGCATACAGCCGGTTCCCAACGGCAGCGACCCCTACACGGGCCCGGCGTGTGGACATGGAGGCCACCACGTGCCAGCGGTCAGTGCGAGTATCGTATGCTTCACAGTCCCCATGGATGGCAAAGAGGCTCCCACCACCTGGGGAGAAGGGGGTGGCAGGGTGGGAGAGGCCCCAGGAAGAGGCTCCAGCACAGCCCGAGAGTCAGGGGCAGAAAGAGATAAGAGTGGGTCAAAACTGACGAATCACAACACAGGGTCCTTAAGTAGCCCCTGAATTGAAGAGGAAGCAAGAAGCAGGACAAGGTCTGAATACTGTCGTAGGGGTTCAGGGAAGGTCCAATATGGGGACTAGTGGAGAAAGGGATTGAGCATACCGACTGCAAACAGCACAGGGCCAGCACCTTCACAGCGCCGGGGCCGAGTGCGGCTAGTGCCCAGGACGCCTCTCTGCTCGGGCAGCAGGTGGAACTTGAGGGCCTCGATGAGCAGGTCTTTGCAATCAGGGTGGTGCCTCACCAGGCCCTCGGCATCCACATGGCCCAGCAGGAAGTCACGGCTCAGGAGGGGCAGCCGAACACACTTCATCAGCTGAGGCAGGGACGTCAAGGTCAGGCAAGACTCGCTGGCACACCTGCCCCAGGCCTAAGGACCTGCTCAGGTACCCATACCAGTGCTCCGATGGGTTCTGAGACAAGTACTTGCACTGCTTCCTCAGAATCCCCGAATAGGAGAGGCTAGAGACTCCTTTGGGCATGCTTAGATCTTAGTCCTCTGTTTCCCCTCCCAGGCACGAGAGTTCCCCGGCAGGGCCTCACCCTTGGGACATGCTGCCTCCGTGTGTCTACATCGTGTTTGACCCAGCTTAGGACTGCACGGTAGACATCTTCCTCAGAAGGCACATTCAGGCTGTCACTAGAGACCAGTTCCAGCACCTGGGGGTTAGGGGCACTGACCTCAGATCTGAGGGTGGAGGTTCTGTGGGAGCAGGGAACTCTGAAGGTACCTGGGAGGGAGAATCTGATGGGGCAGGGAGGAGCCAAATAAGAGTCAGCATCCATAGGTCTGGCTGGTGGGGGCGGGGCCAAGGTTCTGAGTGCTCTGGGACCATGGAATTGAGAGACTGGGGATTACACAGTAAGGACAGGGGTTAAAAGGTAAAGGCTTGGGTGGAGTTTGAAGACAGGGACAAGGCGAAGGCTATCAGAGGATGGATTGGTTATGGATCCACAGGTCAGAGCTGGGGATGAAGTTGCTGGGGTCTGGGCTGGGGGTGTGGCAGGACCTGGGCTGGTGTGTTACCTGCTTCAGTGGCAGCAGCATGAACTCCTCTGTCTTGGCCACGTCCACGAAGTGCTGCAGCACATACCTGTGTGCCGCCTTGAGCAGGTCACCGCATGAGTGCGTGTCTGCAAAGCCACGGATGCCCAAGCAGTTAGAGGGGTCGAGCTGACTCAGCAAGAACTTGCAGCAGGCATCGCGAACACCATTCAGCTGCAGGAGGCTGGCAGCCGGGAGCAGAGTCTGTGGGCATGAAGATGGGGTGGTGCAGGTGGGGTGGAGAGGCAGGAGAGACTAGGAATAGAAGACAGGCCTGGGGGCGAGGGCGCCTCACCTGCACATTGCCCTCGCCCACCACAATCTCGGCTGTGTACGCAAACTGCACCAGCTGGTCCAGCGCCTGAGGGTCGATGTCATGCAGCGTCACGTGTGTCTGGCGGCTCTCACTCATCTCATCTGTGGGAACAGGCAGTCAGGCGGGTGCTCGACCCGGGCCATCGGGAGAAGGCCCCCAAGTGTTGCCCAGAGTGTGGTACTTGCTTGTGAACATGGCGTGGAAGTAGGGGCTGCAGGAAGCCAGCACCACCTTGTGCGCACGGATCTCCTTGGCAGCCACGTGCAGGACGATGTCGCAGAGGAGGCCGCGCTGCCGCATCCGGCTCATCACCAAGAAGGCATCGTGGTAGTGCCGCTTGGAGTTGTGAGCGACACTGTGGCCCTCGCGGCTCAGCAGCTGCATGGCACCTTCCATGGGGGCTGCAGGCCTGGCCTGCCTGGGCCGAGCTCGCTCTGCCTCAGGGCTGCAGGTGGGCAGGGCAAGGTCAGGAGCTGCCTCGCTGGGAGCCACTCACCCCCTTGCGGGCTCTGAGCACCGCCAGGGCAGGCCTCGGGTCCATCCTCCGCAGGCCGGTCCAGCAGCCCTTCGAGGGCCACCCTGCGCTCACCCCGCGCTTCCCTCGGGTCCCGGGACCTCCTGGAGCCGGACCAGACTTTCCCCCCATGGCCCGGGGTCAGGGGCCTGCGGCCTGGGTCCTGGTGCAGACACCGTTCCTGGGCCCCGGGCGCCCGGGTCCGGTCCTCGCCGCCCACCCCTCTCTCCCCGGGGGGCAGCTGGCGGGGCGGGGGGGGGGGGGGGGGGGGGGGAGGGGGGGGGGGAGCCCTGGCCGTGCCGCTCCCCGCCCCGCCGGGCCCGGGCGGGCTCAAGGGCAGCAGGAGGCCGG